TTATAAATGCACATAGTGTATTCTATAGCTGCCAGGTTTACGTTTTTAGGAAACTGTAAGTTACACTGTGGTTAAGACTTGAAGTTTCACCCTCTGAAGGAAGTCCACATTTGATCACAGTGATGCATGGTCAGACTAACAGCCCCAATTGTTAAACACTTGGATCAAGTCATAACCAGTTTTATTGCAAAAGGACCCTGTACACATTTATATCAATTCTAGTACCTTACAAGTTTATCTACCCAACAAGTCATTAACATACAGAAACATGCATGAGAAGCAAGAAAGAACACCCATCCCTTCTGCATATTAGCAACTTGTCACTCCCGAGCCCGAGGCTCAACATCACTGAGGTTTATGTGAACAGTCACTTTTAGCATTCATCCTGAGTGAAAGATGGAATGACTTAAGTACAAATGCAACATATTATAAACAATTTCTTACAAAAAAAGTCACAAATTAAAACCAAAGTATTTTACAGAATTAACTACAAAACACCATAAAAACAGCCTTCACTTAAGCCCTCTCTCCCCGTATCCTGCGAGCCAACTGGATATCTTTGGGCATGATGGTGACTCTCTTGGCATGGATAGCACACAGGTTTGTGTCTTCAAACAGACCCACCAGATATGCCTCGCTGGCCTCCTGTTTCAAGAGCACAAGAAACGTTGTTAAAAACGCTCAGCGCAGCTCCCCCGGCACCGCAGCCCAGCCTGCCCTCGGCAGTACCTGCAGAGCACCGATGGCCGCACTCTGGAACCTCAAATCTGTTTTGAAATCTTGGGCGATTTCCCTGACCAGCCGCTGGAAGGGCAGCTTGCGGATCAGCAGCTCCGTGGATTTCTGATAACGACGGATCTCACGGAGCGCGACGGTTCCCGGCCTGGATGGAAGAGGGAGGAAGGGGCGGTGAGGCGGGGCAGGGGCTGCGGCAGCCGGGGCCGAGCCGAGGGCCTTACCTGTAGCGGTGAGGCTTCTTGACGCCGCCGGTAGAGGGGGCGCTTTTCCGGGCCGCCTTCGTGGCCAGCTGCTTGCGCGGCGCCTTCCCCCCAGTGGACTTGCGGGCGGTCTGCTTTGTACGGGCCATTTTTCCTCACTTACCTACAGAGACACACACGCGTCACACCGGGGCCCGGCTATCCCCGTGACCCCCAGGCCCGACGCCGCAGCGGCCGATTTCCTCACGCTCCAAATGCCCCCCTCCCCCGCGGCGGGCAGGCGGCCAGCGGCCTCCCCCGGGACGGGGAGGAGGGGTAACGGTTACCCCGCCGCCCCCGCCTCGCGGCCCAGCCGCTCCCGTCCCCGGGGAAAGCCGACTGAGTCACGCCGCCTCCTCCTTCCTCCCGGGCCGCCCCGGGGTGGGGGGGGGAGGGAGGTGCAATGGTGGGGGATGGGAACCGGCCGTGACTCAGGGCACGTAGGCAAGGCCCGGCCTGTCCGCCGCGCTCCTAGAGAACCCAAGGCCGCGAACGGTTGCGCAACACCTCCGCCCGTTTCTAGACGCGTCCGCTGTTCGGTACTTACCGGTAGGAAGAGAAGGAAGCGCCGGTGCCGGTAGCGCTGCGCGCCGAAGCCTCTACGCCGTGCTGCTGCCGAGCCGCTCCTCAGCCGCCGCGCCGCTCACTGCGCCCTCCCCGCCGCGGGGACACGCACTTTATAGTGGGGGCGCGCGCGTGGCGCGGTGACGTCACAATGCCTGTAAGCAACGCGCCGCGCTATTGGCCGGGACCTCCGCCGGCGCCGTCGCGTCACCACACACAAAGGCCGTGCTCCGGTTCCCCGGCGCTGATTGGGCGCGCGACCGGGCGCTGATTGGTTGTTAAAGTAGGCGTCCGATTGGGTGTTGAGGGATGAGAAGGATCCAATCGGTGGCGGGCGGGCGCTCTGCGCGCTGATTGGACGAAACGGGGTAGGGTTTGGATCCTACCCTTTGTTGCGAAGCTCCACAATGGGAAGTCAATAGGAGCGGGGCGAGCGGCGGCCCCGCCGCGGGATCCCCCGGGCACCCCCGGCCGGTCCCGGCCGCCCCCGCCGCGGAGCGCCAGCCTCGGCCTGCAGAGCAGAGGCGCCCGGTGGGGGCTGCGAGCGGCGAGGGCCGGGCCGCGGGGTCCCCCCGCCTCCGCCCCCTCTCCCCCGGGAGCCGCCGGTGTGCGGCCGCTCCGCACCGCGCTTGGGGGCGGCCGTGGGGCGAGCGGGGGCCTCGTAAGGGGAGCGGGTCTGGCAGCGCCTCCGGCACATCTTGCCCGGGTTTGTCCTTCCAGATGCCAAGGAAGGGCTGTCACGGGACCTGGATTGGCAGTGGGCAGTGGGGCTGGGATGCGGCTGCCTCATGTCAGAGCCTGACCTTTGGCCCTGCGGAGGGAGCGTTCAGGAGCTGGGGCTCAGCCCCTCTGCGCTGCCCTTCCCCAAATCACACTGATCTGTGGGTCACCTTCACCCCCAAAGTGAGTCACAAAGTTTCATTGTGAGTAGAAATCCAGAATCCGTGCTCCCTGTTGGTGCCATCTTAGCATTTATCTTCCTAAGATAAATAACAAGTCAATAATAAAACTTGTCTTTTGGGGAAAACTGCTGCCTTAAGTTATACCTTGACTTATATCACTGTTTTACTGTATTTGCCCTGACTGTGGAGGCAGGTCCCTGCGCCCACGGGAAGGCTCCCAGGATCAAGAAGAACAGGTCCCAAATGCCCTGGAGTTGTAGCACGTAGGATATGCAGGGAACACAGACGCTCCTGAAGCTGTCCCTGAGGTTCCCAGAGTGGAGAGCAGCTGGGATCACCCACTCTCTGCATGAGGCTCTGCATCCTCGGCCTCTGGGCTCAGTGGATGGCAGGACCAGGATGGAGCTTGGCACGTTGGGAATGTGTTGGGAGCTTGTCCTGCTCCTCCGTGTCCGGGCTGCCACTCAAGCAAACGTGGCACCGTGGTGTGACAGGGCTGTCACGTGTGCCCGGGCTGTTGCTGCCCAAGGGACGTCATCTCCCCTGCCTCTGGTCCTCATTTTCAGGTTCATTTTCTCTCTTCTAAAGGAAAATGTTAATTATTTATCAGAGGCAAAAAGCTGGGAGGTGTGGGTAAACACTCACTGCACTGTTTTGGAAGGTGGAAAAGGAATAATGCCTCTTTCGTCCAAGTTGTTTACACTTAGGGAAAACAAAATTTCTGGTGGTAACAGCTTCTAATACATTTAATTTGTTACTTTTGAGAGCTCCCTGCCCTGTCACTAATGCCAGGAGGCCGGGTGAAACTTTGTTACCAGGAGTTCAGAGTCGCCTTAATTATTACCTTTTCCAGCTTCATAGCAGTGGCTACTTAGACTTCTCACTTTGGAGATACTTAAGATTTTTTTGCTCTACAAAACCCTGGAGAAAAGCCAGGTGTACCCTGGGGTGGAACAGGGTGAGGGGCAGGTGTACACACAGAAGCTAAGGAAGGCAAACCAGCACACGTTAGCAGAGGTGAAATAAATACACCCTGGGCACATCAGCTGGAGTGTCCTCAGTGTTTCCCCACGGCCTGGCAGGGTGTGTGCCAAGGTGTGAAACAGCTGGAACACAGTGTCAGCACCAGGGTGCAGAGTAAACACCAGCCATGAGGGACTGGAGCCTGTGGCATCCAAATCCCTTTGGACAAAGTGCAGGTCGGGGGTGTTTTCAGTGTGATTCCTCAATAATTGAGTGGCTTTTCCAGCAGGTTCATGGCTGACAGTGGCTCTGGTTGGGTGTACAGGTGTGTGTGGAGATACTCACTGAAACACCTGCTCATGCATTCACCAGGAACTGCATCATTCCAGAGCTCTAGCTTTCCATAGAAGGTGGTTAGATGAATAAGAAGGTAATTGATATCCTGTGACTTATTCCTATAAATGCCTGGGAATAAGCTACTAAATCACCTCAGGGTGTAGTAGATACTAAATCGGTATAAATAGGAATTTAAAAAGTAATTTGCCTCCCCAAACCAGCTGCAGAGACCAGGCCTAAAGTTTATTATTAACGTTGCTCAGCCCGTGTGGGCTGGCAGAGGTAGAAGAGGTGTTTGCCCGATAAATGCTGAGTGCCCTTTCCCACAGCGCCAGGAGCGGGTCTGAGCAGAGCCCAAGAGATCAAAGTCCTATTAAAAGAAACTCCTATCATTTCCTCCCCTGGGAGAAGAGTTAATTGGCAGAGGGAGCGCTCCACATGGGAATTCGGCCGATTCCTTGGACACGGTTGCTTTGGGGAGGGGGGGGTTCTCCCGGGGGAGGACGGGGAGCCCGTGCTCTGATGTCCCAGCAGCCAGGTGCCATTGGTGTCACCTCCTCCCAGGTAGGTTCTTCATGCGCTCGCTGGGCCTTCCTCCCCCTCCTCTTCCTCCTCCTCCTCCTCCTCCTCCTCCTCCTGGGGCCGCAGCGCTGCTCGCGGGCACGTCCTGCGCGGCGCTGTTCCGTGAGTGGGGAGGGCCGCGGAGCCATGAGCGCTGCCAGCACTAAAATAACCTCTGGCCGCGCTCCCGCGTCCACGCGCGGCCCCTGAGGCAGAGGAAGAGGGGGAGGAAGGAAATGAGGCCGCCTGACACAAATAACTCCCGGCCCCTCACCAGCTCCCCTGACCGGCCGCCCCCGCTCCCGTCGGGGCTGGGCCGAGCGGGCTGTGCCGCTCCCGGGGGCGGTGTGGCCCGGGCTCGGTGTCCCCTAAAGGCTCCGGTGCTCCCCCAGGAGCTCGCTGCCATCCTGTGACTCGCTCCTCGCCCTCAGGGGCTCGGTGTTCCCCATGATCTCCGTGTCCCCCCAGGGGTCGGTGCCTTCCCTGCGCTCGGGGCTCTCCCGGCCCCGATCCCGCCCCGCCACCGGGGGGCGCCCCGGCGCGCCGCCCCTACCGCTCCGCGCACTACACCTCCCGTCGCGCCCCGCGCGGCAGGAAGCGCGGAGGCCGCGTCGCCGCGGGGCGCCTCTGGGAGTTGTAGTCCCGCCGGCCGGAAGCCACCGCCCGCCGCGTCCCGGGCCGGCGGGCGGCGCGCGCGCGGCGGGACTACAAGTCCCACCCCGCTCCGCGCGCCACCGGGGCGGCAATGGCGGCGGCGGCGCCTGCGCGCGGCGCCCTCCGTGCGGACCGCGCAGAGTGAATAATAAAGGTCTCCTCGGCGGCGGCGGCGGCGGAAGGCGGGAGGCATGTCCAAGGGCCCGGTGGCGGGCGGCCCTGCCGCGGCCGGGCCGGCGAGCGCCGCCAGCGCGCTGCAGGCGCAGCCCGAGAAGCCGCAGCACTACACGTACGTAGAGCCGGGAGCTTCCCCGCCGCCGCCCGCCCGCCCGCGCGCCAACACGCGCCTGACGTCAGCGTGCGGCGCGCGCGGGGGCGCGCGGGGGGACGCGCGGGCACCGGCTGGAACCGGCCTCGGCCGGCGCGGGCCGGGGGCGGCGGGGCGGGAGGGAGGGGCGGGGGATGAGCGACCCCCCCGCCCAACGCCCGTGATGCACCGGGGCCGCCGCGCCTCCCCCGGGGAGAGGGGACCCCCGGACCCCCGGCTGACACCCCCGGCCCCTCGCCCGCCCGTCCCTCCCTCTCGGGTGACACCCCCGCCTGGGGTGGGGGTCGATCCCCCGGGATGTGAGGGCATCCCCCGGGATGTGACAGCCCCGATCCGTTCCGCGGCGGGTGAGGGGACCCGCGAGTGACAGCCCCGGTCCCTCCCCACAGTGTTGGTGGAGCGCCGGGCCCTGCGGTGACACCCCGGCCCGAGGCTGGGCCTCTGTCCCACGGGATGTGAGGGGACCCTGGGTCCCCAGCTCTGCCCCCCGCCCTCGGTGGGGTCCGTTCCTCCGGGGGTCACCTCGTGGTGCTTTGAGGGGCTGAGGGTTTGGTGAGCTGTCACCCAGGGCTGTCACTGCTGTCCTCCATCCCCTGAGGGGTGTCGGGCGTTCCTTGGCACCTGTGGAGGGAGGTGTGAGGTGACAGGAGGTGCCCAGGGTCGCAGCTTTGGTGGTTGGTGATGGAGCGGGTCCCTCTCAGGGCCGGTGTCTTTGGGAGTGACACAGGTGTGTGGAATATCCCCCTTGGAAGGTTTACATTGAAATCTGGACGAGTGTTTGCTCTGTCCCTGCTTTTGCTGGCCCTGTGTGGGTGCAGTCTGGCTGTATGGGCACACCGTTGGTGTGTGTCGCCTCCATCACTGCAGACACTCCCTCAGGGAACACTTGTTGCTGGAATGTGTCTTTCCTAACCAAAAAATACCAGTTCACTGCCTTGTCCCGGGGAAACACAACCTGTTGGAGCTGTGTGAAGTTGGCCTGTGGTCAGTTGTTGGAGTTGGAGGCTGTGGGATGGGATTCCCATCCTCTTGTGCAGTAGGGATAACGGATTGGGAGCGAGCATTGTCTTTGTGAGGTGGGCTGGCGATGGATGGATGTGGCTGGAAATAGGTCATGTGTTCCCTGTCCTTAAAGGAGAAAACTTTGGAACTGTTCTTTGTGAACAAAATATATGTGCTGAGCCGTTTCCCTTATCATTTTAGGGTGTTGTCCTACAAATACCCTACAAATACTCATATCTCTGGCTTGTGTGGATGCTCCCACCCAAAGTGAGACGTGTGCTCTGTGTGCTTTTAATTTCCATTTTCATAAGGTTGGTGGTGGACTTCCCTGCATCCGCACTGTGTATCCTGGAATAAAAAGAGCTTTGAGGAATCCACAGACATGTGCCTGTGTGCCTAGCTGGGATCACAGGCTACCTGCCACCCCTTTCCTTCAGGAATACTATGGCAGAGTGAGGGCTTCCAGGTTGTATTGCCATTGTGAAGATCCTGTCATGATCTTTAGGGAGCTGGCAAGCCACAGTCTCGTAGGCTGTGTGGCTTCTGGTGTGCTCTACAAGTCTGACAGTTTTATGGGGGAAATGGGCATGGAAGAGTCTGCTGGGAATGTTGCTGTAGGGAAAAAGAGGGAACAGGAGCTGCCTGAAGTGGAGTGACACTAGTGATGGAGAAGGAAAACAAGGAGATGAGGTAGAGAAGGTGAGGACACTGGGTAGAGGAAGGTGAAGGTGATAACTTGGCTGAGCATGATTGTGGAAGTAAGGATGTCAAGTATTAGGAAAAACAGAGGAAGAAAGACTTCAAGAAGCAGAGGAGATTGGGAAAGAGGACGGAAATGGGACAGTGTGGAACAAAGCTGGTGGTGCAATTAGCTTATTTCCAGAGGGCAAAACTTGTGTTTTGAAGATGGATGCTATAAATACTTCAGTGAAAACAGTTGCAGAGGAGCTGAATAACCATAAGTGAAAGACGGGTTTGGGGGCTGCTGAGTGCTGACAGTGGGATGTGAGCCATCCTTTGGAAGTCTAGGATGTGTACACTGGGTCACATCAGACTGTAAACCTCCTCCTGATAACATATGGGAACTTATTTGGTGGTGGCTCATGCGAACAAGTTGTATGTTGTCAAAATGTAAATATTTTCTTCCTTTTTTTTTTCCCTTAAATATAGTTTGTTTCCATAAAATGACACAAAGGTTACAAGTTGTAAACTCAAGTAAGCTTAATTATCTGCATACTTTGCTGTTCCCTGGGGACAGGCAATCTGGTGCTGGGGATCTCTCAGAAAGTTTTGGTTGTATTTGTAAGGAAATGTTCCAATTTCTGTATTAGCGTGAATTTCCAAACTCTTGGTGTTAGTTGCATGAGATTTTTTAGATATTTTGAACCTCTGTCTTTCTGTCAGGAAGCCTTTATGTTTACTTTAGATGTGCAGCAAAAGACAATGTGGGAAAAGCAGAGCTGGTGATGCTCTCTCACACCTTTGTCACTGTTTGTTAGCAGAAGAGGCCGAGCTTCCTTGATTTGTGTCCTTTGGTAGCAGTCGTGGTGTGCAGCTGGATATTCCTGGAGACAAGTCCCTGGTAGATGCCAAAGTTTGCTGTTTAATTATGGATGGGCTGCTCCTTGTCTGGGGATGGGATTCCATTTGTAGAACCCCGAGTGAGTAACAAAATACTCCGTGGCTGCTGTTGTGCTCTCCCTGGCTTGCTGGATTAGATGTTCCTGCGTGTGGCTGCTTTCTGTGATCCCACAGCTCCCGTAGCAGGCTGAGAGCAGCATATTCCTGGGAACAAAGGAGTGAGACAGCTCCTTCCTGGGGTTCCTGGAGGCTGGGATCAGCTTGGGGTGATGTGCTCTGCAGGGGCTGCATGGGAAGTGGATTTCATTTGGGTAGGCTCTGTCAAGCCTCAGCTGAGGATTGGTTTTGCAGCGTTTCTCGGCTCTGTCTAGCATGTTATTTCTGCAGGTACCTCTGTCTTTAATGTGTATCTACTCATGTGGGTAGACTTGAGTTGGAAGAAACTGAAAGTGAGCTCTCAGTCACTGAAGCTGTAGGTACAGGGTGCTCTGGGGTGGTTTTGTTTTGGTATGGTTCCTCTGCTCGGCTGCTGGCAGCGTGGCTGGTTTCAGTCAGGCTTGATGCCTTAATTGTGAATTGTAAAGATTGTTTCCACTGCTTGGGTGTTTATTGATCTGGCAGAATTTAGATAAGTGAAAGTGGAGCAGCCCTTTGTTCACTGTGCATTCACCTGAAAGTCAGACAGTTTAATAACTCTGTAGGAAAGCAAATCTTGAGGTAGAGATAAATTAGCCCATTTAATAAAAAAACAGAGAGTCCCTTCAGTTCAGAGCATTCAGAGCACACAGGCTCACAAGCAGCATTGAAAATACTCTGATTCAGGTGATAAACTCTTTGGAACACAGATTTATTGTGCATAACCCAAGTCATTGCTACTCAAGACATTTCTCTTGAGTGTGCCTATCTTAAATATGAGCAGCACCCTTGAAAGTGACCTTCAGGATTCCATGTACCCTCACTTGTGATCTGGGTGAGATGCCTGGGAGCACATCCTGTCCTCTTTTGCAGTGCATCAAGATAAGCTTTGTGATTATGCCTTTGCAGCATCAAAGGCAAAGAACTTGTCTTTCCTTTTGCACAAGGAGAGGAACTGTGGGAAATTCCTGAAGGATTAATACCCTGTATTAATGCTGGAGCTGCATCCACATGGCTGGGCTGTGGTGTAGAGACTGCTGGCTACTGCTCACCCAAGCTTTGCCTTGCAACCATTCTGGTGCCATTTAGGCATTGAAAGACCAGAAGACTCAAATGAAGGACATTGTAAATGGGGATGAAAATGGAGCTGGTGCAATAATTTGGCTATAATTGAAATCAGAGACATTCTTGTGTCTGCATCGTGCCTTGTCTGGTGGTTTCTCAGCCTCAAATAGGAACTCAGATTAAGACAGCAGTGGAAATGTGGGTGAAGAAGAAGTAAAAATACCAAGACCATAGGTATGCTTATTTTAAGCCTTATCTCAAATTGAACATGTGAATTCAAAAATGCACCTCAGAGCATCCGCTGTAGCAGAGTAATCCTTATCTCCTTATCAGTGGACAGTGTCTTACCACTGGCAGAGCAAACAGGACATGTCTGATCTCAAAGGTGCAGACTGAGTGTCTGTGGGAAGAAAACCAAAACCCAGATGTGTAGCTAACAATTTTTCAGGGCTGCTGTTTGCTCTTCTAGGTCCCATAACATTTGCCTGCATGGTCTGTCAGATTGTACATTTGATCTGCTTGAGTTGGGTGGTCTTCACACCCTACTGCACGAGTTGAGGCTCTGGAAATTGTTTTTAGAAACCTTTTGTGTTCTTTTTAAACCATCAGGACTCTTAAAATAACAAACTGCTGCCCTAATTCTGCTTTGGTTTTACTGGTGATAACCCTTAGATCAATAAGCTGATATGGACTTATACAAGTTATAGAAACTAGCCCTGTTTTTAAGCAAAAAACCAAAAAAACCCAAAAAAAACCCCCCCCAAAAAAACCCACCTCAACAAAACAAAACACAAAATTAAGCAAAGGAAAAAAAATACCCAAATAACCCAGAAAACAAAAATAACAAAAAGAAGCCCAGGTGTTTTTAGGTTTCAGGTTTGGTAATAAAGCACAGAAGATGTGGAATAGATCATGTTATTATTGTATTTTATACAGTGTAAGGTAATACCCTTAGGAAAGCACAGAGTGAGTCAATACTTTTAAACCTGGGACTTACCAGTGGTCCACTACATCATTACCTGTCAATGTCATCTTATCAGGAAAGTATCAACTTGTTATTATTATTATTATTGGTATTTTTTGAGTCTGTGTGAATTTCACTGAATGCACGTCCACTGCCAGCTGTTATTAGGAAGTGTGAATAGTTACAGGAAGTTGGAAATATAAAGTGCTGGAGT